TGGACAAGGCATTAAGCAATCCGCATGCGCAGAACGATTGATTTCAGTACTTCCGCTAAGCGCTTCGAGTACAGCGTCAAACTCGGGCCTGTAATCTAACACGCGAGAACTGACCAATGAAATCTGAGAAGTAGGAATACCGGTAGACACTGTTGCTTGATTGACTGTGTCAATCAGGAAAGGGGGGAGCTTGATGATATCGTTCTCTCCCAGTAAATTCCGATGTCAAATAACGATGTTATTTGGACGGAAAAACGATGATTTGAAAGCGTCCAAATAACGTCGTTTTTTCGTCTAATGACCATATACGGAGAAAAACAATGTTTTCGTGTGTGCAGTGAGCCATTCCCTCGATATTACGCTTGTAGTTCAACTCACATTCCCTTCCCTCGGTATTATACGTGTACCACAACTCACATTCATTTCCCTCGATATTACACTTGTAGTTCCCAAGTAAACGTAGAGTGTCTAGATCTATTAAATATTTCAATAAACCTACTCCAGCGTTTTGTCACTGGAGACCCCCATCCACCCCCCACTCACCACCCCTTCTAAGGGGGCAGTGTGTCGCCTCGTCGTATAGAACTTCCTGTTAGGATTGCCATACAATATTTGTCGACTTAGCAGAACATTATCAGAATCCTTTTGAGATCATATCAAAACTAATAAGTAGAAAACCCATCTCCGGCTGGTTGAACACACATTCATAATGTAATTCCAGCCGAGTGGCCTTGAGTTATAGGCCACTGTCAGCGCGGAGCGGAAAATATGAATGGAACCAGCGATATTATCTAGGTTTAGGAGAACGTGAGGTCGCATTCCGTTGTCTTGCTGATCGCATACCTTACATTCAGGGTATATCATTGTCTACACAGATGTATATGTTCAGTAGAGCCCGGTCGGTTAGGACTGACCGGCATATTCAGGATTCTTCAGTTGCGATGGGGGCTATGTACATGGATAATATTCACACAAAATGGAGTGACGCGACCTACGTTTGTAAGGTGAACGAATCTGTCATTTTCAGTAAATGGGGAAGTTTTCGTGTAAGAGGTCGCTCAATATAGCGAATGGGATTTGAGTTGTGTTTCTAATCTGGGTAAGTTCTGAATTACGACATAAATATTTTTTTCAATTTTGCTAATGCCCGCGGTTTAAATGAAATATCCGGGCTTCAGATACTCAATATCTTCGTGTCCTATCACAGCTACGCGATAGGCATGAATACTAGACTACTATGACGTCACCATCAATGACATCTTGTTATACCATGGGTGACGTCATATGCTACCGCGATAACAGTGAGGTGAAATTGAGTTTAACGTCGCGTCCAAGATTATTGCACTTATATAGCGACGTGCATGCACGTGTATGTGTGTGTGTGGCTGCTTGTACTAGTCCGGACTGATGCCGATTTATAGTGCTAGCTCACTGAGATACCATGCCGCAGTTTAACATGAATACCCCACTCAGACACAGTATACTGACTCCGAGCCGACCAGTCCTTGTTTTAGCCCCTTAATGCCGAGCGCCAGACAGGGTAACAACAAGTACAATCTTTTAACGTCTTTTTGTATGACGCGGCCCGGGATCGAACCCTGGACCTTCCGCTCTCCGGGCGGACGCTCTACCACAAGACCACGGAGGCGGTCACCGCGATAACAAATTAGAAAGCGAACAAGTGCAAAACACCAATTAAATCGAAGTTCTGATAAATATTGATCAACAATAATATTTAACTAACTTTAAAAAGTGGTATTCACTTCACCAAGACTCGTTTTTCAAATTTGGGGTTGAGAAGAAAAAATATTTATCAACAAAAGTGTTAATGAGCAGTGCTTCGAATCCCATTTTATCACTTTTTCCAACCAATCAGATTACAGTACACATTGCCATTATTTTTACAATTAGAAGACAAACCTACTATTTTCAGTGTTAAGGTTTTAAACGTAGATTCGTTATCGGTAAATTTCATTAGAAACCGAACGCGACTTTAAATATCTTAAGTTCAGAACTTCTACATTTAAAACACAATTTGTGTGTCTCTGTTGTACCATAACACAATGTCAAAACAAACGCGAAGTCTTTGCATATTGATCAAGCAGAAATGATTATTGATGTGGAATCGGTTGCGACTAATATTTCCAGTAGGTTGAGAGGGCGAATTCATCTGGGTATATGTTTGCTTTATGTATCCAACCATAAATTTCCCTACAACTTGAATCACTTCACCGAGACACGATAAAGTCACGTTGGCAGATACCCTATATGATTTATTCAAAGTGACATCTAGAAAAAATGAAGCCACCTTTGTTACGCTTTGTTCTACTTGTTCGTCACGTTTTCTGCCTGAAATATATTGCTGTATTTATTTCAGACAGTCAAACATTAAATATGTACTACTAAAAACATTTTGTAAAGAACTGTTCATCCAATAAATTTCTCTTCTCCTTCACTCCCTTTCCCTCTCCCTCTATCTTTCAACATTTTTTGCCTCTTCTACAGTGTTGTATAAATGTATGTTGTATTTCTAAACTGCGAAATTTGTAAATACTATGGATAGGTCAATCTAACTTGGAAAAACTTGTCACCAAATCCCGTTCACTTCTTGTGAAAAAATATGTTTAAACCATTATATTACCACACTTACTGTAAATAATATAGGAACAGCAACAGGTTACACTGAGAGAAGTAAGATGACTATTTGAAATTGCCAAAGGGACGGGCTTGCGAAAGAAGTGGTTCTGAATACATATTTTCTTTCGCGGTGGTATGTGGCCATCAGCAAAATCATTGTCTAACGTAGATTCGATACCACTGGGGGACCAATCAGAATGCAGGATTCTAACGATCATGGCAGAATCCTACCATGAATTTGGTGAGTACTCGTTTCTGATTGGCTGATACATGTTGGCACGAAACACGATATATAGAACACTGAGAAAGTGTATTTTAAGTTTTGGGGACCACAGTTAACTAGAAAATTGGCGCTTTCGATATCAGTCTGAGACGTATCCTTTGTTTCACACAATGAGCGCTTCGACGGCATTATAGTGATGTCCGAAATAGAACTGATACTTGCAAGGCTTGCTTCGTTTTCTGCAGGGGTACCCACGTTATGTTGGTCTATGAAGTAGCCTTGCTACGCTTTCAATGCCCGAACTATGTACGAGTAAAATATGACGATGTAAAACAACAACGTTTCTACAGCGACATGTTTTGTTTATACGTGTAGGCAAGTATCAGTCGACTACTCGCCCAAGACGCTGAACTCCACCGGTGTCGTGGTAGACTACAGATAAACCTACTGGTTGCAATGTGACCGGTGAAGATCCCGGTTAGAATAGGTCTTCAGCAACCAATGCTTTCTGTAAAAGGCTACTAACGTGATCGGATGGTCAGGCACGCTGACTTGGTTGTTTGTTTGTTTGTTGTTTAACGCCGCACTCAGCAATATTCCAGCTATATGACGGCGGTCTGTAAAATAATCTAGTCTGGACCAGACAATCCAGTGATTGACATCATGAGCATCGACCCACGCAATTGGGATCGATGGCATGTATCAACCAAGTCAGGGAGCCTGACCACCCGATCCCGTGAGCCGCCTTTTACGACAAGCATAGTCGCCTTTTACGGCAAGTATGTGTTGCTGAAGACCTATTCTACCCCCGGAATCATCACGGGTCCTGACTTGGTTGATGCATGTCATCGTATCACCTGTAGATCTATCCGACAATGAACATTTACACTGATTTATAAGAATTGACTCTTTTTACTGTGTTTTTGGTCCCAGTGGGTAATATTACAACTTTTTGACATCGGCCAGTAATTAAACAAGTTTGGTTCAGGGTTCAGGTAAACCACTGTTACACCAACAGCAGACATCTGTCTAAGCGCGGGGAAGTCAAACGTTGTAACCTTACAACATCAAACTCATTAAAATCAAATCAGCACAACATCGATTTGTTTGTTTGTTGTTTAACGCCGCACTCAGCAATATTCCAGCTATAGGATGGCGGTCCGTAAATAATTGAGTCTGGACCAAAACAATCCAGTGATTGACATCATAAACATCGATCCGCGCAATTGGGATACGATGACATGCATCAACCACGTCAGTGAGCCTGACCACCCGATCCCGTTAGACGCCTTTTACGACAAGCATGGGTTGTTGAAGACCTTTTCTATCCCTGATCTTCACGGGTCGCATAACATCGATGTATGAAGTTTGAAAGTAGTTCCAGCTAGGCGACCTCATTTGCATATTAATCGGATCGTGACATCATGTTCATCGGATTGGTTTATGGCCTCGATTACATGGGTTGCATTCAAAGCGGCCTCGAAACTTAAAAGTCAAAAGGGCCACACAAAAAAAGTCAAAATGGTCACAAACCCATAGTCAAACCGGCCACAACAAAAAAGTCAGTTGCCCCCATGGATTTTTTATAGAAAACATTTTTCCTTGTGAAAGTTAACTTGAATAAGAAATGCATAATCTTTATATTTGCCCCCCCCCCCCCCCCCCCCCCGTCAAAAAATGTTAACTACGGCCTTGGCCTTTCAGTGTTTTTATTTTACTTTTTGAGGCCGTTTTGACCTGCTCCCGATAACACTCAATTAACGATCAAGACATATATATAGTATCAGAGTAAACTATCTGTTTTTAAAGACATTGATTATCACTAAGAACTGGTGACTATGGTGGCCTGTTCTGCCAGAAACCATACGCTGATATGGCCTCTGGTCTTGTTTCGGTAAGGGGGCATTTCAAAATTCCAATATAGGATAAAGTGATTTTATCCAATAACATATAAGACACTCGCTCAAACAAACTTATTGGTAAAAAAAATGTTGACATCCTCGAAGATTGGTTATCGAGCATCTCCTACTCCACAGGGATTCACAAAGTTGGTGGCGCTTTTGCGGCTAAAACATGACGATAAGCTTTGTACAAATTGACTTGAAACCTAAAAACCATCCCTTCCGTCAAACTGCTTGACACTTGCCCCGTGAAGACACGAGTGGGCCACGAACGCTGCCATTCTTATTCGTCACCACTCGCATCTTTCCGTAACTTACGAAAAGGCTTGTCCCGGAATGGCTCGAGTTGTTCACGAATGGAATGCGCATGTCGCAAATAAAAGAGTTTTCTCGAAGACACAAGTGATCACGAACGGTATTGAATTCAACCAGTCAGGATACAACGCTTACAGGCAGTGAAGTAAAAACTTGCGATGTATTCAAATTGTGTGGTCAGGTGCCTGCATCCAAGATTGAGATTACGCAAGACGCCACTCTTTTCCTGAGTCTGATGATATGTCGTTTGGAAAGAGAAAGAAAACGTTTTAGTAAAGTAATTCGTCATGAGCAAGAAGCACCCGTAAAATATACACTACTGAGATTTTGAAGGTCAAAACATCAACGTGTGTGTGTGAGTACTGACTGGTGATTCGTTTATCAATATGGTATAGAACAATTATGTGTAAGTCTTCTTTCCCCTGGATACAGTGAAACCTCGTTACTCTGGACGTCGTTAATGAAAACCCCAAGCTGACGTATGTATCCGTCGGGTTGTATATCACCCTGTATCACCTGTATATCCCGTGTTGTATATCACCTATATATCCTATTGTGTATCACCTATATATCCTGTCGTATATCACCGATATATCCTGTTGTATATCACCTATATATCCGACCCGTGAAGATCCGGGGTAGAATAGGTCTTCAGCGACTAACAGGATCGGGTGGTCAGACTTGCTGATGCATGTCATTGCATCCTAATTGCGTGGATCGATGCTCATGATGTCAATCACTGGATTGTCTGGTCCTGACTCGATTATTTACAAACCTGCATCATAAAGCTGAAATATTGCTGAGTGCGACGTTAAACAACAAACAAACCTATATATATATCCTATGGTGTGTATCACTTATATATCCTGGTGTATATCACCTATATATCCTGTGGTGTGTATAATCTATATATCCTGTGTTGTATATCATCTATATATCCTGCTGTATATCCTGTGTTGTATATTATCTATATATCCTGTTGTATATCATCTATATATCCTGTTGTATATCACCTGTATATCCTATGGTATACATCACCTATATATCCTGTTGTATATCACCTGTATACCCTCTGGTTTATATCACATATATATCCTTTGGTGTGTATCACCTATATATGTTGGTGTATATCACCTATATATTCTGTGGTGTATATCACCTATATATCCTGTTGTATATCACCTATATATCCTGTTGAGTATAACACCTATATATCCTGTTGTACATCAACTATATATCTTGTATATCATTTATGTATCCTGTGGTGTGTATCTCCCATATATCCTGTGTTGTACATCACCTATATATCCTGTGTTGTAGATGGACTTAGACAAGGTTGAGCGTCTACGGGACCGGCTACTGATGTGCCCGATCTGTATGGATGAGTACAAAGATCCGAGACTTCTTCCCTGCCACCACACAGTCTGCCTGGACTGCATCCACAACATCCTCCAGGCCAGCTCCATCACTGGACGCATGTTCAGGTAAGACATACTACTTCCCTGCCATCATCACTGGACGCATGTTCAGGTAAGACATACTACTTCCCTGCCATCATCACTGGACGCATGTCCAGGTAAGACATACTACTTCCCTGACATCATCACTAGAGGGTTCAGGAAAGACATACTACTTCCCTGTCACCATCACTGGACGCATGTTCAGGAAAGACATACTACTTCCCTGTCACCATCACTGGACGCATGTTCAGGTAAGACATACTACTTCCCTGCCATCATCACTGGATGCATGTTCAGTCAAGACATACTACTTCCCTGCCATCATCACTGGACGCATGTTCAGGTAAGACATACTACTTCCCTGTCATCATCACTGGATGCATGTTCAGGTAAGACATACTACTTCCCTGACATCATCACTGGACGCATGTTCAGGTAAGACATACTACTTCCCTGACATCATCACTGGACGCATGTTCAGGTAAGACATACTACTTCCCTGTCACCATCACTGGACGCATGTTCAGGTAAGACATACTACTTCCCTGTCACCATCACTGGACGCATGTTCAGGTAAGACATACTACTTCCCTGTCACCATCACTGGACGCATGTTCAGGTAAGACATACTACTTCCCTGTCACCATCACTGGACGCATGTTCAGGTAAGACATACTACTTCCCTGTCACCATGACTGGACGCATGTTCAGGTAAGACATACTACTTCCCTGTCTCCATCACTGGACGCATGTTCAGGTAAGACATACTACTTCCCTGTCTCCATCACTGGACGCATGTTCAGGTAAGACATCCTACTTCCCAGTCACCATCACTGGACGCATGTTCAGGTAAGACATACTACTTCCCTGCCACCATCACTGGACGCATGTTCAGGTAAGACATACTACTTCCCAGTCACCATCACTGGACGCATGTTCAGGTAAGACATACTACTTCCCTGCCACCATCACTGGACGCATGTTCAGGTAAGACATACTACTTCCCTGTCACCATCACTGGATGCATGTTCAGGTAAGACATTCTACTTCCCTGCCATCATCACTTGACGCATGTTCAGGTAAGACATATTACTTCCCTGTCTCCATCACTGGACGCATGTTCAGGTAAGACATACTACTTCCCTGTCACCATCACTGGACGCATGTTCAGGTAAGACATACTACTTCCCTGTCACCATCACTGGACGCATGTTCAGGTAAGACATACTACTTCCCTGTCTCCATCACTGGACGCATGTTCAGGTAAGACATACTACTTCCCTGTCACCATCACTGGACGCATGTTCAGGTAAGACATACTACTTCCCTGTCTCCATCACTGGACGCATGTTCAGGTAAGACATACTACTTCCCTGTCACCATCAGGACGCTATTGGTCTTTACTGGATCAGATAATAATAATAAGTCCATTTGTATGGTTCCAAACTCCATACCAGGTCGTGTGCTCATGGCGCTTACATTATTACCCCAGGCATCAACAAAAGCTACTATAACAAATGTTATGTTTGGGATAACACTTTCTTAGTAAAGTACAGATTATAGTACTTTTTTGGGTTGTGTCCCATCCGGGAATCACACCCACACTGCCAGAGTGAGGCACCTAATCCCCAGCACACAAAGTCAGCGATCGAACCCACTCAGCCACTGAGGCTTCTACAAAATATGAAAGTCCTACAATTGGTAGTCTAGATCACTCTGGCAGTGTGGGTTCGAAACCTGGATGGGAGTTAACCCAAAAAAGTACCAGAATCTGTCCTTTGCCGAGAAAGTGTTATCCCAACTATAACACTTTTTACATTTGACCACTTTCTAAATGGAATTGTGTGTACATAACAAAAGCCACTGAGATTTCGTGACTGCTTCCAGCTAATGAAGAATTCTAACATGAATTTGGAATTTACTTGATTCTGATTGGTCAATCAGAGGCTATTAAATCACAATAAATCCCCTCTGATTGAAACAGCTGGTTTGACGGCCGCATCACCGCGGAAGCTAATATTCATAGAATAGTACTATTTTCAGTCATTGTCGGTAGACATATTTAAATAATTATATCTGCAATTACAGGTTACAAAATGCACAGATGCGGTTACTACAATATTCAAAGGATGTGTTGCAATACATTTCGTGCAGAAAAACATGACAGAAATCATCAAAGAGAATGTATTTACGTTTTGGAGACAACAGGGAGCTTGGAATTTTGGCGCATTTCTACATACGACTGTGACGTCATATCTTTTGCGTCACAATGAGCGATATGACGTCATAATGGTGACGTGCGATGTAGAGGGAAAGTCTTGCAAAGCTTGCTTTGTTATCCCCCGCCGCGCGAAAGCGCGAAGCGGGGGATATAGTATTCACGACCGTCCGTACGTCCCGTACGTCCCACCTGTTTGTTGCCGCGATATCTCAAGAACTAAACACTGGATTGTCTCCATATTTGGAACTATGGTGTATATACAGACTCCGCAGACACCAGTCGGTTTTGGTGACCTTGACACCATTTTCAAGGTCACAGCAGGCATATCTGCTTTTGGAGTTGGAAAACGGTGTTGCCGCGATATCTCAAGAACTAAACACTGGATTGTCTTCATATTTGGAACTATGGTGTATATACAGACTCCGCAGACACCAGTCGGTTTTGGTGACCTTGATCCCATTTTCAAGGTCACAGCAGACAAATCTGCTTTTAGAGTTGGAAAACGGTGTTGCCGCGATATCTCAAGAACTAAACACTGGATTGTCTTCATATTTGGAACTATGGTGTATATACAGACTCCGCAGACACCAGTCGGTTTTGGTGACCTTGATCCCATTTTCAAGGTCACAGCAGACAAATCTGCTTTTAGAGTTGGAAAACGGTGTTGCCGCGATATCTCAAGAACTAAACACTGGATTGTCTTCATATTTGGAACTATGGTGTATATACAGACTCCGCAGACACCAGTCGGTTTTGGTGACCTTGATCCCATTTTCAAGGTCACAGCAGGCAAATCTGCTTTTGGAGTTAGAAAACAGTGTTGCCGCGATATCTCAAGAACTAAACACTGGATTGTCTTCATATTTGGAACTATGGTGTATATACAGACACCGCAGACACCAGTCGGTTTTGGTGACCTTGACCCCATTGTCAAGGTCACAGCAGGCAAATCTGTTTTTGGAGTTAGAAAACGGTGTTGCCGCGATATCTCAAGAACTAAACACTGGATTGTCTTCATATTTGGAACTATAGTGTATATACAGACACCGCAGACACCAGTCGGTTTTGGTGACCTTGACCCCATTTTCAAGGTCACAGCAGGCAAATCTGCTTTTGGAGTTAGAAAACGGTGTTGCCGCGATATCTCAAGAACTAATCGCTGGATTGTCTTCATATTTGGAACTATAGTGTATATACAGACACCGCATACACCTGTCAGATTTGGTGACCTTGACCCCATTTTCAAGGTCACAGCAGGCAAATCTGTTTTTGGAGTTGGAAAACGGTGTTGCCACAATATCTCAAGAACTAATCGCTGGATTGTCTTCATATTTGGTACTATGGTGTACAGGCGGGGGATATTTCGTCACTCTGTGACAAATACTTGTTTTCTTTAGGGATGCCCACCTCATGTTAGCTTGCCAAGTTGCCGTGCTTATATGCTTTCAATGCCTGTCATATCTTCGAGTGAAGTATTACGGTGTCAACAAACTGCTTGAGTATACACAGCACCATATTTTGTTCGGTGATTCCGTAATTCAGATCGATAACCCACTCAAAACACTGAACTCAACCCATGCCGCTTCACTCAGTATACTTGCTAACACCAAAGAGTTCGCGTTTTATGGTAGAATGGAGATAAACATACTGTGTTTTCAATGTAGAGCTAGGTTACCTGTAGATTTAACCGTGCTAAAATTAACATTTGAAACCTCATGCTACGCGTTCGGTTCCGAATTCAATTTAGCAGGGTTAAATCTACAGGTAGCCTAGTTCTACATTGAAAACACAGTATGTTTATCTCCTAATTGGCACAAAATCTGTAATAACTATAAATAAATTAATTAATAATCTTAACATGGCATAAATAGCTATTCTTTTTTCTTCCCTCACTCAAGGTGCCCACAGTGCAGGAGAGATGTGTGTGTTCCCCGCGGAGGCATCCACGAGTTCCCCCTCAACTTCTACATCATCAGTCTGCAGGATGAGCTCGGCACGAAGACGTACCACGACACGTGTGACATGTGCAAGAGGGACTGGCTCATTTCCCAATTCAGGTGTGTGGACTGTGACATGGTGATATGCAAGTTCTGCATCCACGAACATAGACTCTTCCAGCACGATGCTTCCCGACAGTACAACATCATGAGAATTGAGATAACCCCAGCCGATGTCCACCTGTCCTCGACAAGATCCTGCCCCAAACACTTGGAAGAAATTTTGCAATTGTATTGCTGTACTTGCGACAAACCGGTGTGTATTACATGTATTTGTGAGGATCATAAACGACACGAGACTGTTCCCATGGCAACAAAGCTGTCAGCATCCAGATTAGCTCTTCAGGAAGAGTTGGACCGGCTAGCTTCGGAGAAGAGACACATTCAACAGACGCTGGGTCAGGTCCAAGCGACGTCGGACTCGGTGTCAAAGTGGGCAGATGGCGCCAGGAAGGAGGTTCAGGATCGGGGCAAGGATCTGCATGGCAGGATAGACAAGATGGTCATGGAGCACATCAGTGTTGTCGGAGAAGGAGAGAGGAGGACGCTTCACGAACTCGGCACATACAGGTAGGGGAGGTAATTCATGTCGGTCACTGGAGTAGTGGTCTGTGGAACTCACTTCAGATTTGTAAGAAGATGGCCCACTTGACCAAAACAATCTGGGCGAGACTATGAATGATCATCCATGATAATAGACCAGGGCCCTGTTCCACAAAGCGATCTTAACGCTAAGATGATCGTAACTCCCATACTTTAACACAGGCCTGCGGTAGTCGTAGGGCTAAGATCGCTTTGTGGAATGGGGCCCAGCCCAGTAAAGATACAGTGAGATTTTTACTAAAAAAACAACAAAACAAACATAATTTTTGTTTACTTGGATTGCCAAGTACAGGTTATTATTTAGGCTAAAAAAATAAATGATAGTCTTGGTTCTCAGGCACTGTCCGCATCATCATAGAGTCTGCCGCATGTTTTGTTTTTATTTCCATTTTCAAAGAAATATAAAAATCCTAATGCACAAAAAAAATTGAAAATGGAAACAAAAACGAAATGTGCAATGAACTTTATGATGACGTGGGCAGTGCCTGAGAACCAAGACTATTATTTTTTTTAGGCTTACAGGCCTGTCTGTTGATAGAGTGGGGATAGTCATTAAATAACGCTCCCTCCCTCCCTCACTCACTCATTACTCAATGTTTCAGCAAGGACCTGAGGAAGTATTCGGAGGAGGCGGACAAGGGCCTGCGGTTCCTGCAAGACCTGCAGGAGGGGGACATGTGTCTGGAACTCTTGGACTGCTATGATAAATACAGGAATTCTTTGGAAGAACAGAAGATCAAATCGTCCAACAAAGCCGTTGAGCTGAAGAAATTCACCTTGTCAGAGGGCTGGGACTTGCAGTTTCAACAGTATTATGCCGGCAGTGTTGGCAAGCTGGCTTGTTATTCTTCCCGCCAAAAGTTCCTGACAAAAAAGGGTTTGCTTGACAACTACTCAGTGAAGGAGTTTCTGTTCCGTCTGCTCACACCGGGGAAAATTGCTTTGTTGCTTGTTGTGATTTCAATGTTGTTTACGATTGGTCAGCTTATTCATGCCTACATTTCTGATCCGAACAATGCTCAAGAAGTAGGCGTGGGTCTCTTCTTTTGTGTTTATTTATTTCTAGCATCGTATTTTGCGTATAGGAAATCATAACAATCGTGACAATCCCAGTGCCAAAATGCATTGTCTTTTCAGAGACAGATTTGTCCTGGATAGATGATGATGATGATTATGATGATGATGATGATGATGCCAAAATGCATTGTTTTGTCAGTGACAGATTTGTCCTGGATAGATGATGATGATGATGATGATAAGACTGGGGTTTAATGGGTACAATGTGTGAAGCCCTTGCTGGGTGTCTCGCCGCTGTGATATAGATATAGATATACAACACATAATTCTTGCAAACTTCCTGCAGATTTTTGAAATTTGTATGTTAGTGCTGCAAACTACAGACTGGATCTGATACTTTTTATTGTAATTATAATAAAAATCTGACACTGCAATGAGACAATTAGGCCGACTTTAGTTTTGATTTTTTTAATGCATTCCGAACACATTAATGAAAATAATTAAAAAGTTCGACAAAATTAACAAACTAGTCTAACTGTGGTCATGGTACAGTTTCTTCACATGAATGGAATCTGTCTTGCTTCGCAGTTATGATTGACATGATAGCATGGTCACTAATACACAGTTCTGGATGGTGCGGAATGGGTGACACAAGGTCCTGACTGGATGAGGCATGATGGGAACTGATCTGGCCCACTGAGTTGCGTCGACAGATGTGTGTTGAAATAATTGACAAGATTTATTTCATTAAAGACACTTATAATTTGTACTTACAACTGTAATAGATATAGATGGCTAAAATGTATGAAAAAGGCATGAAAAAAAGCAGATTTTTTTGTCCGTGATCCAAAACGAAATTTTCCAAAATGACTGTACTGTTCTTATGTACACATATTTAGGCCACTCTATTCTTTGCTTGCTTTACAGATTTTTTACAGGAAAATACTTGTGGGTATGTGGGGAAAAAAGGCAATTCAGTTTTTGTTTGTTTAGTTTTCTGCTGCATTTCTGTAGTGAGTGAGTGAGTTGGGTTTAACGCTGCTGTTAACAGTATTCCAGTTATATCACGGCGTGTCAGCTTAATGTGGGAGGAAAGGCCGAAATGATGCAGGCCTCAGAAGTTAACCACTTTGGTGAAACCCACGAGCATGGGTATGGTGCTGACAAACCTAGAAACATAATCGGGGCGAACCCACAATCATAGGTTTCTGGTGTGCCCAAGGGACGCAACTCTGGGCCACCACAGCCCCCCCATTACTGTATGGGTCATTGCATAGAAAATAGTTTTGGTTGCAATATGCTAACAGCTTATCGGTGGGATGAAAAAAGAGCAAATTCTGAATTTTATTTTTTTCCATTTCAATTATTTTTACAGTCAGTGGATCTGTGAAGCAAGTAACAAAAATAGGCCTTACATAATAAATATAATCTTGACCAGCAAGAACTTGCTGATATTACATTAAATCGTACCTCTGTATTTAATGTCTAAGGCCAAAACGTAAAGGCATTAAAAGACAAATACTGTCTGTCAGTCTGACGAAATGTTTCAAAGAATTTCAGGATGTTTTCTAAACATTTCTCCAAGTTTGAAATTTGGCTGTTTAAATGGGCCAGATAGGGTTTGCATCCTACCTTGATCTTTGTTGGATATTGTTTTTGTTGTGCAATTCTGACATGACTTTTGACGCGTTTGTTGCATAAGAAGGCTTAGCATAATCAATAAGTATAGGAATCTGTATATGGTATATAACTGATTCATTACTGATCTTTGTGGGTGGTCAGAACTAGTCCGTGATGCTAGTCTGGAATTGATTGTTCTCCAGGGTCTAGATAATATGAAAGGTGAATAATAGGAATTCATATTGTGCCAATTCCGACCCATAACCTGCTCAAGAGCTCTGTTTGGACACGGACTTGTATATGTTATATAGGTCCGTGGTTTGGAACAATGACAAACTTTGTAGAAAGCCTCATCTTCTGGCTTCAGTTGTGTTATCAGTTGAGACTTAGATGTTGATAGTTCTTCCATGTGTCTGGTGTTAACGGGGAAGTTTGTTCCTAAGGACTTCATTTGATTTTGCAAAACACTGGTCAGGATATATTTGTATGCAGTGTTGTTGACAAGACCATACGATGCTGGTCTGTGACCTTGAACTTTGAGAAGGAGGGTCTGGCTCAGTTGTCACTGAGGATGTGCCAAGGTGGTTTATGGGGCAAGAATGCATTGCTAAACTATCACATTTAGTGCCCCTTTTAGCACTGTGCCCCTTTTTAGCATTTCCAATATTGCCATCATAATTTGTTTTAAGCCAAAATATTTTTTTATGGACAACCATGTATGTGTAAAAACATAAAACTGTGTTTCCGAAAATGTGTGCTTATTTTGAACATCATGTTGGATGTGTTTCAAGAGCTGCATTGTTGGTTATCTTGGATATAAACTTTTAACCAGCCCTGTAAATCATTTAACTCTTGTCTCTTTTAATGTTGGCTATGAAAATGTGTAATACAAAAGTATTGCCTCTATTTGATAGCATGTGCCCTTAGTGACTTCAGTTTACTGTCAGACAAGTCCACAAGTTGAGGCCAGTGTTATTCCTTTCTATCTGTTATGAGAAGGAAGTAGTTAAGTAACTTGTTATTTAAATATCATTAGGAGCAATCATTGTATTTGTAGCTGACCTGCCCTTTATGTGGGGTTCGGCCCTCAGTAGAGGAAATTCAGTAAGCTGAGGCTAAAAAAAATTGGTTCTCAGGCACTGCCCACATCATCATAAAGTTCATTGCACGTTTCGTTTTCCATTTTCCATTTTTTTTGGTGCATTGTGTTTAAGTATTAGGATTTTTATATTTTTGGGAAAATGGAAATATAAACAAAACGTGTGGCAGACTTTATGATGATGCTGGTGGTGCCTGAGAACCAAGACTATTATCTTTTTTAACCTGAATGTTCCGGTCTTCGCAATAGTTGTGATTTGATACCATCTGACCATAATGCTGGACCAAATGTAAACAGACGCCTAGAAACATGTTCCAACATTGATATTGTGTCATGGAACTAGAGAGGAAGGGAGGAATACGAGGAAACTCAGTGAAATGTGACATGTGAATTCAACGTCAAACCCAACCATTACGTTATGTTCCTGAATGATATTTCCTCTCATATTAAGGGACCGACCATTTGATATTTTGGGGTGGGATTTTTTCTGGAAATGATGTATTTTTTCAGTTAAAGCTGCAAAACTAGATATTTTTTTAATTAAAACTCTGAGCCTGAATAATTTTTAAGAAAGATGCCTTGCAACAATATAATTTTTGTGGAAGACAGCTTCTTTTCTTTTCATCAGTCTGAAGTGTAATTTTTTTTTTCAAGACAATATATTTTCAATCTTCTAAGTTGCCGATGTGGTTTAAATCTATGATTGGCGCCCTTATTTGATCTACTGCACGGCAATTTGGCAACCTAAAAAACAAACAGAACTGATGACAGTCCCTAATGTATTGTACACCCAAGCATAATGTGCACACCCCTCTAGGGACGCGGTAATTTGGGGGAAAATAAAGATGTTTCGACTTTACTCAGTGAAACCCCTATGAATACATGTCCTATCTCAGACTCTCAGTGTGGCTCCATGGAATGAAATGGTTGGCATATGAAAATATTAATGTTAGTCACTTAGGTCTGTAATAAAGAAACAAAATTTCCAGACACCTCCTCTCCCCCCCCCTCACACACACACACACACACACACACACACACACACACACACACACACACACACACACACACACACACACACACACACAGAGAATATCAATGTTTGTCCCTAACTGTCTGGAACATAAAAAAGGCTGCTCAACTTCCTGAGGCAAGTATGTCAACTATCCTATATCAAAGTCTAGTTTTCACTAAAGATTGGCTACTATGCTTGTCATAAGAGGCGACTAACGGAATCGGGTGGTCAGACTCACTGACTTGGTAAATGCATGCCATCGCATCCCTATTGCGTGGATCGATGCTCATGATATCAATCACTTGATTGTCTGGTCCAGACCCGATTATTTACAGACAACCGCCATATAGCTGTAATATTGCTGAGTTCGGCGTTAAACAACAAACAAACAAACAAACAAAAACAGATTGATACAGGATTGCGGACACACTTGCCTCCGGAAGATGTAGGCTGCTTGGTTGGTTGTAATTGGTGGTTAGTCACATGATATATTGTTTAATGACAAAAATTACGCACCCATTCCTTCTGACTTTCATGTGGTTGAATGAAGATATAACTTCAGTGTATGCATGACCAGATTGTTTAATACATGTATCTAAATACGTTTTGCCAGGACTAAGGTACAAAATGTCAGATTGGGAATTTTTTTTTTACCAATCTCTTGAGGCCTACTGTGGGTTCCCGGATAGGGTCGGGTAATAGGGGATTGGGTACCTGGGTAGTAAATTTGGACTTGTCCCACCCCTAGTGGAAATCTTATTTCACTCGTCCTCAGAGTTAGCAGCTTGTCCTGCTTAAACAAGACAAAAATATTTACAATGTTTACATTTTCTGTCAGTTTTAATCAGTTCCAATTTGTAGCAAAACTGAAGCCTTGAGAACTGGTACAAGATTACAGATCTCAAATGCTCTAGTCAGTGAGGACTACCATCTTGGATGTTCTACTTGTCCTCAGAACAATTTTGTAGTCTTGGGCTAGTGGATGAGCACCAATTTCAAAAGGCTGCTTTTAACATTATGTCAAGAGGGTCCAAGTTGATCACCAGAACAATTAAATATGTAACAGTCTATTTGGAGATGGATAGGTATGCTGACCAAAATGGTTTTACTTGGGTTTGAATTAAGTCAAGATACCAGTTAATTAGGGGGAACAAAGATAAAAGTTACACGCAAAAGCTGAGACACTCAGGGATTTATTGAGACCTGCTAAGAGGCTGATTTATAAATCGGCCACAAGTTTGCAGCAAATGTTAGTCAAAATTCCAAAATTGGAATGGTAAATTCCCAGTTCATGTCATGTCTTTGCAGAGATGACTTGTATTTCACTGATCACAGGGCCAAGGAAAAGGAAGTGGCTTTAATGGTACTCAGTTTCACATACCGTATTTGACGTAATAAGCGCCCAGGGCGCTCTCAAAATTAGAAATAGGGGGCTCTTATTACAGTTGAAAGATAAATTTCGTGGTTTATGCTGACAGCCTGAAATGTTTATATACGACAGAAATATTTTTAACAATTAAGGGTGCATATAACACACAATTGCTTATTATATGCGAATAAATAAGTCTCGTGTACATTGATCAATCGGAAGGAGTGCTAATTAGGATTGTTTACTAGCCAATATCAGCAAATATCGCCATAGGCGCTTATTAGAGCAGGGCACTTATTATGTCGAATACGGCAATTACATTGAATACATTGAATTTTTTAAATTGACTTTTGAACACAACATTTTTCCCCATCTCCCTGCTTACCACATCTAGTATTTAATCTCTGCTAAATCCCTGATGATATACCGTATATCACTGTGTATCAGCCTAGTTTTTAGTACCTAGAATTAGGTGGCTTTCAAGGGGGTTCACCCCATACACAGGGTTGAAGAGTTTTGAAGTTTTTCCCCCAACGCAAAGACATTATTGTGAGCACGTAACACTCGAAATACCATGTCAACAAATCTGTACTGAAGTATGTAAATTAATAATGTAATTACGGTGTCTGGTTATAAAACTGTTCATTGTTTATCTGGACTTAAGTTTGTAATCAATTTTATTAATTTTATTCAAAAATTCATTCGATATTGTTTACATTAATTTTGACGAAAAACGTTTGTGAAGTTACTAATGGCAACCACGGTCAGATAAACCCTATTGACACCTTGAAACAAACTTTATTAGACAGAGAAGGATATATATATAATAAATGCCATACTTTGAGTCGTTGAAAGTCATATTTGTTGTAGTTCGACTATTATATATTAACATAAGTGCTCAAGACCTGATATTTTCATCCATTTTTTGTGGATGGTATCAAATCAGATATTGAGGCATTTGGTTTTTTATGTGTTGTAATGAAACTGTTCA